TTGTATGGAATGAATTGCATAAAGATGAATTTGTACACTGTCTTAGTGATCGTTTGGCTGAAACATCACAGACTCTTCTGACTACCCTAAACTCTAACATAAACGATGCAGTTGATCTTTTTGTAAATCTACTACTTGAGTCAGGGCAGTGTATGAAAAAAACAGTTCTTGGAAATAAACCACGTAAATATATTTTCAATTTAAACAGCGAGTGTAGAGAACATAGGAGATCAGCAAGACGAGCGCTAAGAAAGTTCCGTAAAAATAGATCTGAATCTAATGGGAAAACTTATTGTCAGTTACATAACAAATATAAAACAAAATGTAAAAGCTATTTAAAATCCCTTAAACGTACCAAATTAAATCGTCTAAATGCCTCATTATCAAACCCAAAACGGTTCTGGAGAGAAATTAATTCTCTACGCAGTCCATCATCTGTTCAGAATAATATCACAGGCACAGAGTGGCTGACTCATTTTAAGCATATGTTTGGCAATGATCTTATATTCCATGATGTTATTGAAAATGAGCATGACGATATTGCTGTTTATAACCATTCAGATGTTGAGTTTGACATTCTTGAGTCCGAAATAACAAGAAAGGAAATTCTCGATGCTATTGACTCACTTAAACCTGGAAAATCTCCGGGCCCTAATAATATCTTAGCGGATATGCTGAAGAGTTCCAAACACATAACTGTTCCATTTTTGCATTCTCTCTTTAACGACATATTCAACAAAGGCATATTTCCGTCAATTTGGTCAAAATCTATCATTGTTCCTCTATTTAAGAAGGGTGATACAAGCTCTGGTCTAATGTTTATGATAAAATTCCAGAAAATCAGGCAGGCTTCAGACGATCATATTCACCTATCGACCATATTTTTACACTTTATTCTATTGTACAAAAATATCTTGGATGCCGGAAACGAAAACTGTATGCTGCATTTGTGGACTTCAAAAAAGCTTTTGATAGCGTTAATCGTTGTAAACTTTGGGATTGTTTGAGAAAAACGGGCGTTGGGGGTAAAATGTATAAAATGTTAAAATCTATATATGCAAATGTCAAATCATGTGTTCGTCACAAAAATGGCGTCACTGATTACTTTGATTGCCCAATCGGTGTGAAACAAGGCTGCATTTTAAGCCCTATCCTTTTCTCTTTCTTTATCAACGAATTGTCCCTTGAAATCCAACAAAACGGAAAACACGGTGTCCAACTTTATCCAGATATGTATGAATTGCTAATATTACTTTTCGCAGACGATGTTATACTAATTTCTGATACTATTAATGGGCTTCAAACACAAATAGACATATTGTTTCAGTATACCATCTCCTGGAAACTGACTGTTAATACAGATAAAACGAAAATTGTTGTTTTTAGAAAGGGGGGTCCTCTTGCATCCAGGGAAAAATGGTATATAAATGGGCAACAAATTAATGTTGAAAAAACTTATAAATACCTTGTTGTCATTTTTCCTTTTAATCTGAAACTAAATCACCTCGTCAACGATCTTGCGCTACGAGCTAAGAGAGCCCTCATTACCTTATTTGTTGATCTCGATAAACTCGGTGTGTCTTCTCCGTCTGTTTTCTTCAAACTTTTTTATTCTCAAGTTAAACCAATTCTGTTATATGGTTCAGAGATTTGGGGTCTCGAAAAATATCACATCTTGGAAAAAATTCACTTAACTGCTTGTAAACGATTCTTAAATGTTGGCAAATCTACCCCAAATTGTATGGTGTATGATGAATGTGGAAGACATCCCTTATATATCTGTTCTTATGTACGCGGTCTAAAATATTGGTTAAAGATTATAGAAATGTCACCTGATCGTATTCCACGTAAATGTTATGAAATGCTGAAATACCGCGACAATGTTGGTTATATAACATGGGTCACTAAAATCAGACAACTTTTATTTCTTCATGGATTTGGATATGTTTGGATTTACCAAGGTGTTGGAGATAAGACAGCATTTCTTAGTGTATTTAAACAAGTTGCATCTGATATGTTTATCCAAGAATGGAGAGCTACATTGGAAAATAGTTCAAGATACGACCTTTAACAGACAGAAAACTTAGAGTGTGTTTTACACGTTTTAGATTAGGTTTGAACAATTTCGTATGTAATACGGGTCGTTTTTCCTCAGTTTAAAAAAAATATGCGTTTTTGTCCTTTTTGCCCCTCATTTATTGAAAACGAATACCATTTTATGCTTATCTGTCCATGTTATGAATCGCTCAGAACAAAATATTTCCAAGGTTTACCCCAAAACATCAATACACTAATCAAGCTCCTCCGTTTTGATGAAATATCTAACGAGCAACAAAAGAATACTATCCTATACATTAATTATGGTTTACGACTTCGCAACCGTCTTTGTACAAATGATGTTTAATTATTCTTTAGGTTATTTGCCTTCATTAATCAAATGCTTTTATCTCTTCTTGTTGTGTTGTGTTGCGACTTATTTTTCACAAAATTTTACACGTGCACATCTCTGTGCATATAAGTCTGCATGTTTATACTTCTACAAGTACAAAATTGTATATATATATAATGTTACTGTATGTCTATGGCCAGAATACAATAAAAAAAATGATGATGATTTTGATCATTTAATGTACTGTGATCCATTGGGTATACATGATTGACAGATCGCCCCCGTGGTCTAGTGATAGAGCGTCTGCCCAGAGAGCGGAAGGTCCGGGGTTCGATCACGGGCCGCGATATACCAAAATACGTTAAAAGATGGCACTTTTTGCTACCCTGTCTGGCGCTCGGCACTAGTTAAGGAGTGAGGCTAAAACAAGGACTGGTCAGCTCAGTTTCTGTGTCTGAGTTGGGTATTTAGGGCATGGTATCATAGTGGGCTAGCACTACAAGTACAAGCAGACACACACACACACACACACACACACACACACACACACACACACACACACACACACACACACACACACACACACACACACACACACACACACACACACACACACACACACACACACACACACACACACACACACACACACACGTGCATGCACGCCGCTATACGAGTGCAATAATCATGGACGCGACGTTAAACCCCATTTCTCCTCACCTCAGCACATGATTGATAGCTCCTCATGCGATTAAGGTATACATATATATCCATAAAAATACTATTTGCGTCCAATTCTCATATCGTTACTTTTTTACTAGGATATAAGCATACGATAAGCACCTCCATATCATCGTTTATTATCTAAATGGTCCTTTAAAACCATGTTATTTATTACAGCTTATTGTAAACTACACACGATCATACTTCAATTAGCTTGTCGTTTATTATATAGTGCTAATATATAGAGTGAGACACGGAGAGAGAGAGAGAGAGGGGGGGGGGGAGTGAGAGGGGAGAGAGGGAGGGAGGGACAGGGAGAGACAGGGAGAGAGAGAGGGAGGGAGAGAGCGAGGGAGAGGAAGAGACAGGGAGAGAGATAGGGAGCGAGAGGGAGAGACAGGGAGAGAGAGAGCGATGGAGAGGAAGAGACAGGGAGAGATATATGAGAGAGAGAGGTGGGGAGAGACAGATAGGCAGAAACAGAGAGAGATTGACAGACAGACAGAAGATGAATACATCTTATTTTAAACAATACATGATCCTATTTCGATAACCTTGTCTCTGAAGAACTAAAGTTTAATTCTTTATGCAAATATTGGGAGAGAGAGACTGATAGAGAGATAGATAGATAGATAGATAGATATAGAGACAGACAGGCAGAGAGAGAGAGGGAGACATTGGAGAGAGATTGATAGAGAGAGATAGTGAGAGAAAGACACGGAGAGAGACTGACAGAGGGAGAGAGAGAGAGAGAGAGAGAGAGAGAGAGAGAGAGAGAGAGAGAGAGAGATGTCATAGAGAGGGAAACGGAGAGACATGGAGAGAGGCTGACTGAAAGATAGACTGACAGACAAAAGATGATTACAGCTTATTCTCAACAATACAGGATCCTATTTCGACTACCTTGTCGTCTCTGAAGACCTCTGTGGGCGCTTAAAAGTATGTTTGTATCCGCTCCAATCACCATGTCGCTGAGATGTACAAGTGAAACGACCTCAATGTTGAATGCACTTTAAGCTGTTAATGTGGCAAACGTGTGCTGTATTTCCAAACAAAGGCAGAGCGACGCACCTACTGGTGGCAGTGTCAAAATAGGGGTATTAACAGTGGACATCGTTGAATTCGTCCTTGAACTAACTTGGTGAGTTCACCTCGTTTAACCCCTTTCCTATCATACACTATTGACACTGGCTGTGACCCCATATCTTGTAGCTGATAATTGATGCGTTACAAGCCCCTGTGGTCAAGTAATACTGAGATTATTTCCCCACAACCTACTTCGTGCAGTCAACATTATCAGTATACGGCGGATACCTTATATCAGAGATATTGTTAATGCTATACGAGCAGAGCTGAGGGTAAATAACTCTTGGGTGTTCAATTTCAGCCACAATTGCTTGAATAAGACCCTGGGAACCTACATCTTTCTCCTTTCTTGTTGTAAGGTAAGAAACACGTGCAAGGCATGACACACTGTCAACACACGGCGGGCACGTGGTTCCGTAAAAAAGTGCGAATCGGGTGCTTATAGCTGCATTCAACGAAATGGCCGATAAACGAAATTACAGCCAACCCCACCCCACCCCGAAATTACACATCACCGGCAATAAGCGAATAGCCCGACTATTGTTATTTTTGATTAAATAGCATTCATTCAATTACTTTCTTTCAATATTTGTTCGTGTTACATCGTAATTCTTGTAGTAGGTTGGGCGAAATGGGCTTCTCACATTAACCCCATGTGGGGAATCGAACCCGGGCCGTTTAAAGCGACGAGCGAACATTTTAACCACTAGGCTACCCCACCGTCTCTATTGTCTGGAGTTAAATTTGTGTACCAAACCAATATTCCTTTACCATAACTCGCTTGTCTTTCTTTTAGGTTTCATAGGACATCAGGAAAGACACAATGGCCAATGAGGGCAAACAGAAGTCAACAGATGGCCATCCATGGCTGGTCTACATCTCAACAATATTTGCATCTGTTCTGGCTCTTCTTCTAGGCTATACTCTCGGTATTATCTCGGGGGCCATGCTGCTCCTTGTTGACACGTTTCAACTCGATACATTGTGGCAGCAGCTCATGGCCACATTCGGCACAGTAGGATGTGCATTAGCACTTCTTCCTGCTGGCTACCTGGTCCAGCTTTTAGGAAGGAAGAGGATGATCATTGGATCCAATACGTTGACTTGTATTGGCGCCATCGTATCAGCAGCAGCACCAACGAAAGAGGTGGTTCTTGTTGGACGTTTATTGGCTGGAATGGGAGCAGGTAACCAGTTACTGAATGATAAATGCAAGCATTATCAACGTGAATGTGTATAACATCTTTCTCACTTCCGTCAACAACATGAAGGCATGTCGGAAAAAGTGGCGAATATATCATTCCAAAATATCAGAGGGGAACATTAATATGTTACTGAGTGCGCTGTTCAATCAGGATGGACTGAGGAAACGTTACATAGTTACACATGTCTGACTGACGACCTTGACAACTTCACATTTTTAATGAAGAATCCAGGGTGGAAAACTATTTTCGCCTAAGGCGCCGCGATTCGCTGTGAAGAGTTGCGTCCCTTGGGCACGTCAGAAACCTATGATTGTGGGTTCGAATCCCGGTTCGCGCCAAATATTTTTCTAGATTTGTCAGTCCCATGCCCGTGCTCGTGGGTTTCACCGAAGTGGTAAACGCCGTGATGTAACTGGAATACTGTTAAAAGCGGCGTTAAACCCAACTCACTCACTCACTTATTTCACTGAGAAATCAGATATAGGTGGCATTTGCGCAGTTGCACACTTGCAAAGTGTTTTAACATCTCACCACAGTGTGTGAATGCTGTACAGGACCTATTATGTGATCGGCTCCTTGTGGTGTTTTCATGAGACTTGCCTGGTAGATCTTAACTATCATTCAATTTACAAGCTTACATTTGATGAAAATAACTGGGACCTGTTTGTGCAAATCCTTGTTATATATCTTTTCTTTCACATCGCATCAGGTTTGACAGCTTTAGGTTCAACTAGCTCACATTATTGTCAGCAATCACATTTTATCTTGACCCCTGACGATCCGGGGTAGAATAGGTCTTCAGCAACCCATGCTTGCCGTAAAAGGCGACATGCTTGTCGTTTAGGCGACTAACGGGATCGGGTGGTCAGGCTCGCTGACTTGGTTGATGCATGTCATCGTATCCCAATTGCGTGGATCGATGCTCATGATGTCAATCACTGGATTGTCTGGACAAGACTTGATTATTTACAGACCGTCGTCATATAGCTGGAATATTGCTTAGTGCGGCGTTACACAACAAACAAACAAACAATTGCTTTGATCGATGTACATTATGTCTATCACTGGATTGTCTGGTCCAGACTCGATTATTTACAGACCGCCGTCATATAGCTGGAATATTGATGAGTGCGGCAATAAACAACAAACAAACATTTTATCTCAACCGAACGATTCTATAACGACCTAAAAGAATCTATAGAATCTAAGGAAACGTTGTGGAACCTGTTGCTGTCGACGAATATTTCTGTGACGTTCGAAATACTTACATGCTCCCTAATGGTATTTTACAGGAACTATATCCCTCGTCGTGCCAATGTACATATCGGAATGTGCCCCCGTGGACATCAGAGGGCGTCTTGGTAGTCTCACACAGGTCCTGATTTCAATGGGGGTTTTTCTGTCATCAGTCGGGGCAGGCGCTTTCAGTGGACTAGGGGAAGCAGGATGGAGGTGAGGATTGATATGCTCAAGGTTTGGTCGCTCTTATCAATTGTTTTGAAATATTTCAGTACTTCATTTATTATTCTACCAGGTGGATGTTTGCATGTCCCTGTGCTCTTGGCGTTGTGCTTTTTGTTGGAAGTCTCTTCCTCCCGGAGACTCCTCGGTGGTATATGGACAGAGGAAGAGAGGAAGAAGCTGTTTCAGTCCTCAAGCGACTGAGAAATAACCCGGATGAAATCGAAATAGAACTCAACGACATAAGAAGAACTGTTGCGGAAGGGAAACGGCTGAAACATGATAAAGGTTTGTAATATCGTTATATAGTTATTTATCTCATTCTATCCTGCAAAACATGTGCCATAGTGAAAGCATATTATTTTATTGGCGTATTCCAGTAATCAGGCTGTTAGTGACAGTTGATGGTTTTTCCCGGATCAGATCCGGATTTGAATATGGGCAGGGTTAAAGGCCGGACAAGCCGGAGTCGGCAGGTTTGTCAGCTGAGGTGTGTCTTAAATTGTCTTTCTGAGGGATAGGTTTGTATGGTAAGGATTCTTCATGCTAAATTTATTGTTTAGTTTATTTAAAGTAGAGCACATGCTATTGTAAACCCCACCACAAAGCATAGTCTTCAAGTAAAATCCTATGGATGCAGCAATTGGCTACTATTTTAGTGACCCTGTGATTGAACTATTCTGTCGAATTCATAGAGGGAGAGAGGGTGATTCATTTGTGATTCATCAGGCCTGAACATATGAGCGATTCAGCCAATCAGAGCACTGGTTATATAGGTTGGTTTGTTGTTTTACGCCACACTCAGCAATATTACAGCTATATGAAGACGGTCTGTACATAATGGAGTCTAGGCCAGGCAATCCGGTGATTGATATCATGAGCATCGATCCGCACAATCGGGATACGATGACATGCATCAACCAAGTCAGCGAGCCTGACCACCCGATCCCGTTAGTCGCCTCTTACGACAAGCATACTGGATGTGTTTTGAAAACAGCTTCAAATCGTCAGAGGCATAATGCATTACTACATAGTGAGAGCAGGCTCAACAGTCAGATACATATTCTACATTTCATTGTTGGCATGTTGTTTAAGTGTGAAATACAACACCTGACATTGTGAATGAAGAATATGAACTTGTTGCCTTTTTTAGGGCGTTATACTTTACCATGAAATGTAGAATATGTATCTGACTGTTGAGCCTCCTCTCATTATGTAATAATGCATTATGCCTCTGACAAATTAAAGGCTGTTTTAAAAATACTTTTATATGCCCCCTATCAAACTATGTAAACACCTCTCCAGACGTAGCGAAAACATTTCAAAGTAATTTTCAGAAACACTTTGGGGTGAAAGCGTAAATAAGGAATAATTTACATGACCCACTATGGTAAAGTCACGTGGCTTTGCCCGAGGTCTTCCGAGTGAGCGTGGCTTTTGTTGGAGACATTCGTCACCACTCGCCCCTTTCCGTAACCTGCAAGAAGACTCGTCCCCCTATCGATGAATGTTATGTGCGAAAATACGACAAACCAATCAGAATGCGCGTATGATTTCAAGCTTTTGTCAAAGAATCCCTCAGAAACAATTTTTGATTTAACATATGTGTTAATTCTAAAAATATACCCAAGACACAGTTAAATGTGGTCAATTATACTGTATAATTCCGCATGTCCCGATGTGCTTTAAATTGCATCTGAAATATATATAATATATGGGGAAATATATGTGAACCATTACGCAACGAGTTGACAATTGTTTTAGGTATGCCCGTTTGCGCTAAGACGGAACCCGGTCGCACAAATGGCCACGAGAGGGGCACGAGTCGCTATTCGGCTTGTCCCGGAATAACACGAGTTGGTCACGAATGAGTTGGAGGTTGAGCACAGTCGATCCGTGTATTTTTAGCGCTCGCCAACTTTTCTGATGTTTGTCATGGTCTGAGTTGGTCTTACACTACTTCCACACAGAACATGGTTCCTCTTTGATTGGGAGGATACTAACAACGCCTCCAGTCCGAAGAGCTCTGTTCCTGTCCATGGTCTTGGCGATGATAACACAGGTGACAGGGGCGGCTCCCGTTATGTAAGTGGACTCACATACTCTATTTGGATTTTAATTTAAGTGACCAAAATGTTGCATTGAATAAAACACTGTCTCTTTCTTTAATAAATATGCAGACATTCGTGAGTTTTCATAAGATATAAGAATTCACAAAGAAAGAAGTAAGAATGAGATATCTTTGGGAAGGTCGATTCGCTAGCAAATTCCATTTTTGTAGGTACTACACGGGAACTATACTCAAAAGAGGGGGGTTCGCAGTCACAGATGCAATATGGATGACAGCAATACCAACTGCACTGCAGGCTGCAACAGCCTTCATCAGCACGTGCTTGGTGGAGAGAATGGGACGCAAACTTCTGTTTCTTGGCTCACAGATAGGTAACCGCCTCCGTGGTCTAGTGGTAGAGGGTCCGCCCGGAGAGCGGAAGGTCCGGGGTTCGATACCAAAAGATGTTAAAAGATGGTACTTGTTGTTACCCTGTCTGGCGCTCGGCATTAAGGGGCTAAAACAAGGACTGGTCGGCTCGGAGTCAGTATACTGTGTCTGAGTGGGGTAGTCATGTTAAACTGCGGCATGGTATCTCAGTGAGCTAGCACTATAAATCGGCATCATTCCGGACTAGTACAAGCAGCCACATACACACACACGTGCATGCACGTCGCTATATAAGTGCAATAATCTTGGACGCGACGTTAAACCCCATTTCCCCTCACCTCACAGATAGGTAAATGATGCTCACGTTCCATTGAACATGTATGTAGCTTCGTCGTAGGTCAATGTTGGCTCTCGGTATCTTCATGACTGTTGATTATTTCTGCTTAAGTCTCATCTGTTTTGTGGTGACATTATCCAAATTGCATATAATAGTAGTCATGTGAAATAAACTCAAATTACATCGGTGACGTCACATATACGTGACATCACATTTTCATTCTTGTGTGCAATAAAGCCAATGTACAGTTTCATCTTGAATCAGTTAATGTGTCTTGAATAATGTTGGTTTGGTTGGTTTATTGTTTTACGCCCCACTCAGCAATATTCCAGCTATATGACTGCGGTCTGTAAATAATCGAGTATGGACCAGACAATCCAGGGATTGACATCATGAACATCGATCCAAGCAATTGGGATCGATGACATGTTTCAACCAAGTCAGCGAGCCTGACCACCCGATCCCGTTAGTCGCCTCTTACGACAAGCATAGTCGCTTCTTACGGCAAGCATGCGTTGCTGAAGACCTAGTCTACCCCGGATCTTCACGGGTCCTTGAATAATGTGTCTCCTATTTGAATAATGTGTCTCCTATTTGAATAATGTGTCTCCTATTTCGGTGTTTATGACTTTCATTGTCAACAGGTCTGTTAATTTCCTTGGTCATTCTTGGACTTGGCTTCTTCCTCTCCTCGACTCATTCCCCCGTCGTTAGTGATGACATTCAGAGTACCATCAATAACGCTACAACAGCTTCCATGTGTAATTTAAGGTAATTTGTCCTTTGTTTCAAGTGAGTTAAAATATGAACAGTGCAACCCAATATAGAGATTAATAGGTGACATGACACGAGTTTTTAGAGTGTTTTTTTGCACATAGATACAAAATATACTGAACCCATTCGTTGGAAAAATAATGTTCAGAGGGCATAATGTATATATCATGAATATTATACCATGACTTGAGGAAATACTTAATTCTCAATGGCTAACTGAAGTCAATCAGAGGTATATAATCACATTGTAAAGGTCTCTCATTGTCGGCTGCACTGTTATACATATACTAGTATTATGCGGTTATTTACGTTTGCACATTAACATGGCGGACACCAAACAAACTACCGATACGACGATGGATAGCGGCGCATTTGTTGTCGGACATTTCGCATCTTTTTTCGACGATGGACTTAGTTATGATGAACTCAACGGATCACTTGCGCAATCACATAATCAGGTGATTCTAGAAACAAATAACTCCTCAATCAGAGAAAAATAAATTCAGTCGAACAAGGCTGGATATAAAAAATCGTCTGCTTTGCTAAAGAATGAGCAAGAAATAAATTGTTACGTCAATTAAATCTCATGGCAAAATAGATGAAGCCATTGATTGTAAAATAAATCTAATTGAATTTATTATCAGATTTCGTTGAGGATATGGCCACTGATCATGACCTGTTAACGGATGATAGGCCTACATCGACACCAAACACCTCAGTCCACATAAACATATAATAATAATAGTAATTCAAACAAAACCATACATTTAGGAGAAAAAGTAATGTTTTGAAATCCTCGGTAGCAGTACATAACTATAATAGCTGTAAAATTATTTTACAACTGCCGATTTAGGAACTACATAATATTTTCCTAAAAAATATTTCATTCAGAAAAAATTGATTCAGTCACGGTCCCATTGTAAATAGCGTTGCATGAACCAAAAATAATCTTTTGAGTACATAATTTTGCTTGCGAATGAAAATTAGTTGAAACATATTTCCCACAGATACCATCATCCAACTAACTAAGTCGTCAACAGCAAGTCGCTTTGCAACAATTGACGAGGGAAGCCTAGATTCTATTTCCTTGGAAGGGAGGCCAAAAGCACACTCAGGACTGCACATATCAACAAGTAAATATAAATAGGAAATTCTAGGCCTTTCCATTGCATAGAAAAGTCATCAAAATTCATAAATTAAACCAAATAAAGCTCCAAATGAATAGATCTAATTAATTATTCATCTGCACAATTAACGGTCTGCAGCTGGGCCCCGTTCAACAAAGCCATCTGAGCGCTGAGGTGATCGTAACTCCCATACTTTAACACTGGCTAACGATAGTCGTAGCGCTGAGGTGATCGTAACTCCCATACTTTAACACTGGCTAACGATAGTCGTAGCGCTGAGGTGATCGTAACTCCCATACTTTAACACTGGCTTACGATAGTCGTAGCGCTGAGGTGATCGTAACTCCCATACTTTAACACTGGCTTACGATAGTCGTAGCGCTGAAGTGATCGTAACTCCCATACTTTAACACTGGCTTACGATAGTCGTAGCGCTGAAGTGATCATAACTCCCATACTTTAACACTGCCTTACGATAGTCGTAGCGGTGAAGTGATTGTAACTCCCCTACTTTAACACTGGCTTACGATATTCGTAGCGCTGAAGTGATCGTAACTCCCATACTTTAACACTGGCTAACGACAGTCGTAGCGCTGAGGTGATCGTAACTCCCATACTTTAACACTGGCTAACGATAGTCGTAGCGCTGAAGTGATCGTAACTCCCATACTTTAACACTGGCTAACGACAGTCGTAGCGCTGAGGTGATCGTAACTCCGATACTTTAACACTGGCTAACGATAGTCGTAGCGCTGAAGTGATCGGAACTCCCATACTTTAACACTGGCTTACGATAGTCGTAGCGCTGAAGTGATCGTAACTCCCATACTTTAACACTGGCTTACGATAGTCGTAGCGCTGAAGTGATCGGAACTCCCATACTTTAACACTGGCTAACGATGGTCGTCGCGCTGAGGTGATCGGAACTCCCATACTTAAACACTGGCTAACGATAGTCGTAGCGCTGAGGTGATCGTAACTCCGATACTTTAACACTGGCTAACGATAGTCGTAGCGCTGAGGTGATCGGAACTCCCATACTTTAACACTGGCTTACGATAGTCGTAGCGCTGAAGTGATCGGAACTCCCATACTTTAACACTGGCTTACGATAGTCGTAGCGCTGAAGTGATCGGAACTCCCATACTTTTAACACTGGCTTACGATAGTCGTAGCGCTGAAGTGATCGGAGCTCCCATACTTTAACACTGGCTAACGATAGTCGTAGCGCTGAGGTGATCGGAACTCCCATACTTTAACACTGGCTTACGATAGTCGTAGCGCTGAAGTGATCGGAACTCCCATACTTTAACACTGGCTTACAATAGTCGTAGCGCTGAGGTGATCGGAACTCCCATACTTTAACACTGGCTTACGATAGTCGTAGCGCTGAAGTGATCGGAGCTCCCATACTTTAACACTGGCTTACGATAGTCGTAGCGCTGAAGTGATCCGAACTCCCATACTTAAACACTGGCTTACGATAGTCGTAGCGCTGAAGTGATCGGAACTCCCATACTTTAACACTGGCTTACGATAGTCGTAGCGCTGAAGTGATCGGAGCTCCCATACTTTAACACTGGCTTACGATAGTCGTAGCGCTGAAGTGATCGTAACTCCCATACTTTAACACTGGCTTACGATAGTCGTAGCGCTGAAGTGATCGGATCTCCCATACTTAAACACTGGCTTACGATAGTCGTAGCGCTGAAGTGATCGTAACTCCCATACTTTAACACTGGCTTACGATAGTCGTAGCGCTGAAGTGATCGGAACTCCCATACTTAAACAGTGGCTTACGATAGTCGTAGCGCTGAAGTGATCGTAACTCCCATACTTTAACACTGGCTTACGATAGTCGTAGCGCTGAAGTGATCTGAGCTCCCATACTTTAACACTGGCTAACGATGGTCGTCGCGCTGAGGTGATCATAACTCCCATACTTTAACACTGGCTTACGATAGTCGTAGCGCTGAAGTGATCGGAACTCCCATACTTAAACACTGGCTTACGATAGTCGTAGCGCTGAAGTGATCGTAACTCCCATACTTTAACACTGGCTTACGATAGTCGTAGCACTGAGGTGATCGGAACTCCCATACTTTAACACTGGCTTACGATAGTCGTAGCGCTGAGGTGATCGGAACTCCCATACTTTAACACTGGCTTACGATAGTCGTAGCGCTAAAGTGATCGGAACTCTCATACTTTAACACTGGCTTACGATAGTCGTAGCGCTGAAGTGATCGGAACTCCCATACTTTAACACTGGCTAACGATAGTCGTAGCGCTGAAGTGATCGGAACTCCCATACTTTAACACTGGCTTACGATAGTCGTAGCGCTGAAGTGATCGTAACTCCCATACTTTAACACTGGCTAACGATAGTCGTAGCGCTGAAGTGATCGGAACTCCCATACTTTAACACTGGCTTACGATAGTCGTAGCGCTGAAGTGATCGTAACTCCCATACTTTAACACTGGCTTACGATAGTCGTAGCGCTGAAGTGATCGGAACTCCCATACTTTAACACTGGCTAACGATGGTCGTCGCGCTGAGGTGATCGGAGCTCCCATACTTTAACACTGGCTTACGATAGTCGTAGCGCTGAAGTGATCGTAACTCCCATACTTTAACACTGGCTTACGATAGTCGTAGCGCTGAAGTGATCGGATCTCCCATACTTAAACACTGGCTTACGATAGTCGTAGCGCTGAAGTGATCGTAACTCCCATACTTTAACACTGGCTTACGATAGTCGTAGCGCTGAAGTGATCGGAACTCCCATACTTAAACAGTGGCTTACGATAGTCGTAGCGCTGAAGTGATCGTAACTCCCATACTTTAACACTGGCTTACGATAGTCGTAGCGCTGAAGTGATCGGAGCTCCCATACTTTAACACTGGCTAACGATGGTCGTCGCGCTGAGGTGATCATAACTCCCATACTTTAACACTGGCTTACGATAGTCGTAGCGCTGAAGTGATCGGAACTCCCATACTTAAACACTGGCTTACGATAGTCGTAGCGCTGAAGTGATCGTAACTCCCATACTTTAACACTGGCTTACGATAGTCGTAGCACTGAGGTGATCGGAACTCCCATACTTTAACACTGGCTTACGATAGTCGTAGCGCTGAGGTGATCGGAACTCCCATACTTTAACACTGGCTTACGATAGTCGTAGCGCTAAAGTGATCGGAACTCTCATACTTTAACACTGGCTTACGATAGTCGTAGCGCTGAAGTGATCGGAACTCCCATACTTTAACACTGGCTTACGATAGTCGTAGCGCTGAAGTGATCGTAACTCCCATACTTTAACACTGGCTTACGATAGTCGTAGCGCTGAAGTGATCGGAACTCCCATACTTAAACACTGGCTTACGATAGTCGTAGCGCTGAAGTGATCGGAACTCCCATACTTTAACACTGGCTTACGATAGTCGTAGCGCTGAAGTGATCGGAGCTCCCATACTTAAACAGTGGCTTACGATAGTCGTAGCGCTGAAGTGATCGGAACTCCCATACTTTAACACTGGCTTACGATGGTCGTAGCGCTGAAGTGATCGGAACTCCCATACTTTAACACTGGCTAACGATGGTCGTCGCGCTGAGGTGATCATAACTCCCATACTTTAACACTGGCTTACGATAGTCGTAGCGCTGAAGTGATCGGAACTCCCATACTTAAACACTGGCTTACGATAGTCATAGCGCTGAAGTGATCGGAACTCCCATACTTTAACTCTGGCTTACGATAGTCGTAGCGCTGAGGTGATCGGAACTCCCATACTTTAACACTGGCTTACGATAGTCGTAGCGCTGAGGTGATCGGAACTCCCATACTTTAACACTGGCTTACGATAGTCGTAGCGCTAAAGTGATCGGAACTCTCATACTTAAACACTGGCTTACGATAGTCGTAGCGCTGAAGTGATCGGAACTCCCATACTTAAACACTGGCTTACGATAGTCGTAGCGCTGAAGTGATCGTAACTCCCATACTTTAACACTGGCTTACGATAGTCGTAGCGCTGAAGTGATCGGAACTCCCATACTTAAACAGTGGCTTACGATAGTCGTAGCGCTGAAGTGATCGGAACTCCCATACTTTAACACTGGCTTACGATAGTCGTAGCGCTGAAGTGATCGGAACTCCCATACTTTAACACTGGCTTACGATAGTCGTAGCGCTGAGGTGATCGTAACTCCCATACTTTAACACTGGCTTACGATAGTCGTAGCGCTGAGGTGATCGTAACTCCCATACTTTAACACTGGCTAACGATAGTCGTAGCGCTGAGGTGATCGGAACTCCCATACTTTAACACTGGCTTACGATAGTCGTAGCGCTGAGGTGATCGTAACTCCCATACTTTAACACTGGCTTACGATAGTCGTAGCGCTGAGGTGATCGTAACTCCCATACTTTAACACTGGCTTACGATAGTCGTAGCGCTAAGATCGCTTTGTGGAACGGCGCTAAGGACTATATTCTCACAACTCCTACCGGATACGTATTAATTCCTTCCCAGTCAGAATGGTTGAGCGAAAACGGAAAATCCACAGACTTTGAATCACTTCCAGTTGACGAACTGAATGCACGTCTAAGGCGCCCTTACGCCTACGTGCTTACTGCAGATGACCAGTTCTACTTAAAATGATCATTTGTTGATCTGAGAGCGGCGAAACATCGTAACATTCGGGCGCCGACGTTTGAACGGAATATCAACTATTTAGCAAGTCTTCTGTAAAGCCCCCTAAGTGTTTCTCGCCATGTTGAGAGAAATAAATCAACTTGGCCTTGACCCCAGATACCATCATGAGACCATTCCTCATGGGAATATGTCAAAAATTAGGGAATGTCGGTCTGTAGATTCACTAGGCCAATCTTCAACGTTAAGTATGGTTTGACATGACATTAGGGTTTGGTCGGCGAGGTTGCGAAATTCAAAAAGAATTATCTCTGCCTTCGTTTACCGTTGAAACAGGAGATGACGGTGTGGAAAACATTACAATGAAACACCCACAGGCTACACCCAGGGGGTTACGGGATTAGGCGAAAGCACGCATTTATGCCATCGGTACACCCTCATGCTCTGTTGCATCATTTCAGAAATATTATTCGAAATTACATCCCACCAAATCCAACTTTCTTTCAACACTTCGGAAACATGACAGTGTATCCGAATCGATTTGGTACACTTTGAAGACGCTAGATCACAACACACTTTCACAAATGACCAAAACAATATCCTCAGAATCGTATTTGACACCAATCACTGTGCAAGAGCCATCACAGTGACACTTCTGTCGTAGAAGGCGTGAAATCGCTAAGTCCACAGGGCACACAAATCAACATTCAACCGACTCCTCAGAACAAAAGCGCCTCTACTCTTCCATTATGCAAGGTGACAGTAATCAGGTGTCCACTACTGTCAGCTTTAGTTATACTATCAAGTTAATCTTGCATATTCCGCCAAGCATGCTTCGGCTGCATCTTTTAAAATTTCCAGTTGCAATGTAACGGTAAACACTTACTTCCGAGATTAGGCCAAGGTCATGAGTTCGGTCCATTATTCGGGTGTTCAATGTAACGGTAAACACTTACTTCCGAGAATAGGCCAAGGTCATGAGATCGGTCCATTATTCGGGTGTGCAATGTAACGGTAAACACTTACTTCCGAGAATAGGCCAAGGTCATGAGTTCGGTCCATTTTCGGGTGTGCAATGTAACGGTAAACACTTACTTCCGAGAATAGGCCAAGGTCATGAGATCGGTCCATTATTCGGGTGTGCAATGTAACGGTAAACACTTACTTCCGAGATTAGGCCAAGGTCATGAGATCGGTCCATTATTCGGGTGTGCAATGTAACGGTAAACACTTACTTCCGAGAATAGGCCAATGTCATGAGATCGGTCCATTATTCGGGTGTTCAATGTAACGGTAAACACTTACTTCCGAGAATAGGCCAAGGTCATGAGATCGGTCCATTATTCGGGTGTGCAATGTAACGGTAAACACTTACTTCCGAGAATAGGCCAAGGTCATGAGTTCGGTCCATTATTCGGTTGTGCAATGTAACGGTAAACACTTACTTCCGAGAATAGGCCAAGGTCATGAGATCGGTCCATTATTCGGGTGTGCAATGTAACGGTAAACACTTACTTCCGAGATTAGGCCAAGGTCATGAGATCGGTCCATTATTCGGGTGTTCAATGTAACGGTAAACACTTACTTCCGAGAATAGGCCAAGGTCATGAGATCGGTCCATTATTCGGGTGTGCAAGATAACGGTAAACACTTACTTCCGAGAATAGGCCAAGATCATGAGATCGGTCCATTATTCGGGTGTGCAATGTAACGGTAAACACTTACTTCCGAGAATAGGCCAAGGTCATGAGATCGGTCCATTATTCGGGTGTGCAATGTAACGGTAAACACTTACTTCCGAGAATAGGCCAAGGTCATGAGATCGGTCCATTATTCGGGTGTGCAATGTAACGGTAAACACCTACTTCCGAGAATAGGCCAAGATCATGAGATCGGTCCATTATTCGGGTGTGCAAAAATATTTGAACTTTTTCGCTACATCTTTGAAATTATCACGTATCCCTGCGTGATGAATAAAGTGCATAAACAAAACATCATTTATTTATTTTTCTGAACCTGATGTTTGTTAGTTGTGACAATTTAACAACCCGTTACCCCTTTACGGACGATACCATTTGAGAATGGAATGCAAGCCCTCATTACAGACTGGCACCTAAGATATGAAAGAGTTCCAAACTGACATTCAAAACATAGGTTCATCTCCTTATTATGAGCTGGTTGGTCCCAACACAATATATCTCACAATGGATGATAACTGTATGTAACTGTATGTCATGGTGCATGTTTATATGTATTCGAATTAATAAATGTATAATCATTATAACGATGGATACACAGTATCAGTATAAATATTCAGACAAATATAACGGAAATTAATTAGTTGTATTTGTGGCTTTTGAAGTAATTTCAATATCGTGAAACCAGGTGAGCTACAATTCCGTATCACTTATCAATTCAGAACATGTGAGCAATGCATCGAGTCTTCACAATGCGGCTTCTGCTACGACGTCCTCTCAAGAGCCTCGTGTGTCCCCGTGTCGGTAAACGGCAGTGCTACAACAGGGAGATGTTCTTCCGCCAGCTCTTTTAACAGTTCAGACTTTACCCTGTTGACGCAAGCTTGTCCCAGTGACTATAAATGGATTCCAGTGATTGGGTCCTCCCTATACTTGGCTGTATTTAGTAGCGGTGAGAAAATGGACATTCAATATTTCATTACCAAGATGTGTCTCCTCAGAGATATTATTTGTAGTGACTTGGTAATGACATGTGATTGGTCAGATGATAGTAAAACATATTTTTTTCTAAGACATTCACATGTTTTGGTAATTTTGGGTGTACAATTCCATTTAACCGGATATCATGACATCAGATGCGAAATTTTGCATATAACGTATCTACATCAGCTGATTGTCCAACAGGGATGGTCGGGTAGGCTAGTGGTTAAAGCGTTCGCTCGTCACGCCAAACACCCGGGTTCGATTCCCGACATAGATACAATGTGTGAAGCCCATTTCTGGTGTCCCCCGCCTTGATATTGCTGGAATATTGCTAAAAGCGGCGTAAAACCATACTCACTCAATCATTCACGTATTGTCCAACAAAGTTTCAATGCAGCTGGACCTAATTTAAGTTAATTCAATATCGATTAAATGTGTGTATTCATTCAAAACTTTCCAAATAAAGATTTTTGTCTTCAATATCTACATTATGTATTTCGTTTATATTTCAGGTGTTGGCGTGATCTTTGTTTTTATATCTGAAGTATTTCCTCTCTGGGCACGCGGCACATGCAGTTCAATAGCTACTTCAGTCATATGGATATCCCAGATTGTAGTCGCTATGACTTTCCTGACACTTGCTGACGCCATCACGGCCCATGGTAAGTGATCCCAAAAAGCTTTTCCAGAATACTTTAAAGACTTTTTTTGGTATCTGGTTCGATTTTCTAATTCTTGGTAGATAGAGATACAGAGTTCAATGCTGGAATTTCTGTCAGTCCTGGTACCAATGTTCTGAAACTGTTTCGCCATTGTCCATGCACATCTGTATGAGGCGTAAATACAGTATGGTGTTAGTGCACAAATATACATAGAACTACATAGGGAAGTTTTGAAAAAAAATATTGTTGAATTAAGTTTAGGTTTCAAAAGCCTAATGATCATCTTTCTTTTTCCAAAGAAAGCCTCGGCATTTTTCCACTTTTATCAACTCGTGTTGATATATTTGATATATATATATATATATATCCGGTGAGATTCTCTATATCTCAAATGTCTATTTTAACTTCAGATACAGAACTAAATTCTAAACTTATGTCTTTAGTAATTTGCAAATGTCCACTATCACCGTCAGTATAAACAAGAGCTAAGCTTGCATTCATTAAAAGGCATGATACTGGCGATCTTTTTTTCAATCGTTCATTACTCTGGTTCTGTCAAATTGTTTCTGGTAACTTTTCTGGTTTGTAGGTATCTTCTGGCTGTATGCGGGATGCACTTTGCTTGCTGCGATTTTCATCTTTATATTCATGCCGGAAACACAAGGGCTACGATTGGAGGAGGTTAATCAACTGTTCCTGACACGGGAGGAGAAGATTGCTTTGGACAAAACAGAAGTAGACAGTTTTACGAATAGTTAAACTAATTATCCGTCTTGTATAACTACAACCTCCTTTTTGAGGATTTATCATTCTTATTCATTGAAGCAACAGGTGAAGACTTCAACTATATGCTATGTAGAGGAAGTAACCTTTGGGAATGATATAAGCTGCGGCCATTACTGCACAGGCGGTCAATTTAGATTTCTTTGCTATCTAACGTTATTACACTGACAGTCATTTTAGATTTCTTTGCTATTCAACATTATCACACTGGCAGTCATTTTAGATTTCTTTGCTATCTAACGTTATTACACTGGCAGTCATTTTAGATTTCTTTGCTATTCAACATTATCACATTGACAGTCATTTTAGATTTCTTTGCTATCTAACGTTATTACACTGGCAGTCATTTTAGATTTCTTTGCTATCCAACATTATCACACTGGCAGTCATTTTAGATTTATTTGCTATCCAACATTATTACACTGGTAGTCATTGTAGTTTTCTTTGCTATCCAACATTATTACACTGGCAGTCATTTTAGATTTCTTTGCTATCCAACATTATTACACAGGCATTCATTGTAGATTTCTTTGCTATTCAACATTATAACACTGGCAGTCATTTTCGAGTCTTTGCTATTCCACATTATCACACTGGCAATCATTTTAGATTTCTTTGCTATCCAACATTATTACACTGGCAGTCATTGTAGATTTCTTTGCTATCCAACATTATTACACTGGCAGTCATTGTAGATTTCTTTGCTATCCAACATTATTACACTGGCAGTCGTTTTAGATTTCTTTGCTATCCAACATTATTACACAGGCATTCATTGTAGATTTCTTTGCTATTCAACATTATAACACTGGCAGTCATTTTAGATTTCTTTGCTATTCCACATTATCACACTGGCAGTCATTTTAGATTTCTTTGCAATTCAACATTATCACACTGGCAGTCATTTTAGATTTCTTTGCAAGTCAACATTATTACACTGACAGGCATTTTAGATTTCTTTGCAATTCAACATTATCACTCTGACAGTCCTTTAAGATTTCTTTTCTATTCAATATTAACACTCTGACAGTCATTTTAGATTTCTTTGCTATTCAACATTATCACACTGGCAATCAGGTTAGACTTCTTTTCTATTCAACATTATTACACTGGCAGTCATTTTAGATTTCTTTGCTATCCAACATTATCACACTGGCAGTCATTGTAGATTTTTTTACTATTCAACATTATCACACTGGCAGTCATTTTAGATTTCCTTGCTATCCAACATTATCACACTGGCAGTCATTTTAGATTTCTTTGCTATTCAACATTATCACACTTGCAGTCATTTTAGAATTATTTGCTATCCAACATTATTACACTGGTAGTCATTGTAGATTTCTTTGCTATCCAACATTATTACACGGGCAGTCATTTTAGATTTCTTTGCTATCCAACATTATTACACAGGCATTCATTGTAGATTTCTTTGCTATTCAACATTATAACACTGGCAGTCATTTTAGATTTCTTTGCTATTCCACATTATCACACTGGCAATCATTTTAGATTTCTTTGCTTTCCAACATTATTACACTGGCAGTCATTGTAGATTTCTTTGCTATCCAACATTATTACACTGGCAGTCATTTTGGATTTCTTTGCTGTTCAACATTATCACACTGACAGGCATTGTAGATTTCTTTGCTATTCAACATTATCACACTGGCAGTTATTTTCGATTTCTTTGCTTTTCAACATTATCACACTGGCAGTCATTGCAGATATCTTTGCTATTCAACATTATTACACTGACAGGCATTTTAGATTCCTTTGCTATTCAACATTATCACACTGGCAGTCATTTTAGATTCCTTTGCTATTCAACATTATCACACTGGCAGTCATTTTAGATTTCTTTGCAATTCAACATGATCACACTGGCAGTCATTTTAGATTTCTTTGCTATTCAACATGATCACACTAGCAGTCATTTTAGATTTCTTTGCTATCAAACATTATTACACTGATAGGCATTTTAGATTTCTTTGCAATTCAACATTATCACTCTGACAGTCCTTTAAGATTTCTTTTCTATTCAATATTAACACTCTGACAGTCATTTTAGATTTCTTTGCTATTCAACATTATCACACTGACAATCATGTTAGACTTCTTTTCTATTCAACATTATTACACTGGCAGTCATTTTAGATTTCTTTGCTATCCAACATTATCACCCTGGCAGTCATTGTAGATTTTTTTACTATTCAACATTATCACACTGGCAGTCATTTTAGATTTCCTTGCTATCCAACATTATCATACTGGCAATCATATTAGATTTCTTTGCTATTTAACATTATAACACTGGCAGTCATTTTAGATTTCTTTGCTATTCCACATTATCACACTGGCAGTCATTTTAGATTTCTTTGCTATTCAACATTATCACACTGGCAGTCATTCTAGATTTCTTTGCTATTCAACATTATTACACTGGCAGTCATTGTAGATTTCTTTGCTATTCAACATTATCACACTGGCAGTCATTCTAGATTTCTTTGCTATTCAACATTATCACACTGGCAGTCATTTTAGATTTCCTTGCTATCCAACATTATCATACTGGCAATCATATTAGATTTCTTTGCTATTTAACATTATAACACTGGCAGTCATTTTAGATTTCTTTGCTATTCCACATTATCACACTGGCAGTCATTTTAGATTTCTTTGCTATTCAACATTATCACACTGGCAGTCATTCTAGATTTCTTTGCTATTCAACATTATCACACTGGCAATCATATTAGATTTCTTTGCTATTCAACATTATAACACTGACAGTCATTTTAGATTTCTTTGCTATTCCACATTATCACACTGGCAGTCATTTTCGATTTCTTTGCTATTCAACATTATCACACTTGCATTCATTGTAGATTTCTTTGCTATTCAACATTATCACACTGGCAGTCATTTTAGATTTCTTTGCTATTCAACATTATCAAACTGGCAGTCATTTTAGACTTCTTTTCTATTCAACATTATCACACTGGCAGTCATTTTAGATTTCTTTGCTATCCAGCATTATTACACTGGCAGTCATTTTAGATTTCTTTGCTATTCAACATTATCACACTGGCAGTCATTTTAGATTTCTTTGTTATCCAACATTATCACACAGGTAGACGTTTTAGATTTCTTTGCTATTCAACATTATCACTCTGGCAGTCATTTTAGATTTCTTTGCTATTCAGCATTATCACACTGGTAGTCATTTTAGATATCTTTGCTATTCGGCATTATCACTCTGACAGTCATTTTCGATTTCTTTGCTATTCAGCATTATCACTCTGACAATCATTTTAGATTTCTGTGCCACGAAGCCTTTGTGTTCATGTTTCACGTGTATTGAATTTCATGCGAATCAAATTGATCTCTTCCTATGTACCACATGTAACCGTATATCATCCTTATAGCTAGACTACATTTCTGGTGTCCCCTGCCGTGATATTGCTGGAAATATTGTTAAAAGCGGCGTAAAACCATACTCACTCACTCACTTTAGCTAGACTATGTGGAGGGGTACTTGGTTCGAGTGGCCTGGCAAAGCAGATGAGACAAACAAGTTATTTGACAGGATCAGTCAAATATTTTATTCATGTAAACCATAAAAAACCAAAGCGTTGATCATTTAGCAAGTTTATCCCATCCGTATGACATTGAAATGACTTTTTAATTCGATGATATCTGAAAGACGTTGCCATTATTTTCGAATAAATTGATGATATCTGAATATGTGTTGTGAAATTGTATTGATGACTAAATTGTAAAACGTTAAAAGTAAATATGTTACTTATTACTTCTGTGAACTCACACGTGCTTAATGTTTACATTACCAGCCTCAAGATACGACATGCTAACCCTTTTCGCAAACACCCGGTGTCAACACCTATTTTCAGTTATCCATTCACATTATTTCACACCAGTATGCTCCTTTCACGCCCAATGGAATCACCCTCGGCGGATAACCCGCACTGGTTAAGTAAGTTATTTGATATGACAGAGTGACCCTACAAAGTTAATGGCATCCTGTGGTTTCTGCTGAGGGAATAAGACATGCAGGTGACAGACGCCTGATTAGGAACGGATGTGATTATGAGTACATATGTTGCGGGCCTCACTGTTAAGTTGTTTCTTGTTGAACGCCGCACTCAACAATATTCAAGTTGCATGACAGCGGTCTGGGCCAGAAGATACAGTGACTGATATTGTGAGCAATGACTCACGTATTCGGGGTACAATGACAAGGAATCAGGCAAGTCCCCCAGCCTGACCATCCGATCCATTAAGTTGGCTCTTTCGACAAGCATAGGTTCCAATGGGGACCAAAGCTAACCCGGGAACCCCACAAGGCGCGCCTGAGGGTATAAGGTCAGTGAAGTAAACCGTGATTTGGCATGAAGAGTAATATGAAATTCAACAGACCGGTGTACGTTGGTATGAGTATTCTTGACTTGTCAAAACACTTAATGTATGACTTTTATTACAACAAACTTAAGAAGCAATACGGCGATAGACGTGAGGCTTTTTGTACCGACACAGAATCTTTGCAGAAAAAAATAGATATGTACGACACAGGTGATTACCCAAATGATAATCCACTGCACAGCATAGTAAATAAAAAGGTATTAGGTAAGATGAAGGATGAATGTGCTGGGATCCCTATACCTATACTACTCGATTACATGTATCAACCAAGTCAGCGAGCCTGACCATCGCCTCTAACGACAAGCATAGTCTCCTTTTACAGCAGGCATGGGTTGTTGAAGACCTATTTTAACCCGGATCTTCATGGGTGGCAAGTGAATGAAAGAAGTAGAGTATCAGGTTGCGCTGCTACACGTCTCGAATTCAATGGTCATGATTATTGTATGTTTATATTCCGTCTTAATTGCTAATTGAAATAATGTTACACCTTCACAAAATCAATAGTTTATGCCATAAATCTAGAAATGTATGTCAAA